ACTAATCCACTTTCTCTATATATAATAATTTGCCTATTCTGGACCTTTCCTATAAATGGAGTCATATAACATGTAGCCTTCTGTGTCTGGCCTCTTTAATTTAACATAATATTTTCAAGGTTCTTCCATGTAATAGCATTTATAAGTACTTCATTCCTTTTCTGGCTGAATAATATTAGGTTATAGCTATACCACATTTTATTTATCCATTCTTCAGTTTATCAATTCTTCAATTACCCATTCGTGGACATTTGGGTCGTTTCTTTTTGGCTATTATAAATAATGCTGCTATGAGCATTTGTATACAAGTTTTTGTATAGACGTAATGTTTTCATTCTTTTGAGTATATAACTAGTAGTAGAATTTCTGGGTAATTCTTCATGTATTAACATTTGAGGAACTGCCAAACCACTTTTCAAAGTAGCCGTACTGTTATACAATCCCACTAGCAATGTATGAGAGTTCTAATCTCTCCCTGTCCTTGTCAACACTTGTTACTATCTTTTAGATTATTGTCATCCTAGTGGGTGTGAAGTGGTATCTCATTGGGGTTCCTTATCAGATATATGATTTGCAAATATTGTCTCCTATTCTGTGTTTTTTTTTCACTTTTCCAATGGTACCATTTGCAACGCAAAAATTTTTTAACTTGACCTGCTTTTTCTGTGTCATTTGTGCTTTTGGTGTCCTGAGAAATCATTGCTTAACCCAAAGTTGTAAAGATTTACTCTTATGGGTTCTTCTATGAATTGTATAGTTTTTAGATCTTACACTTAGATCTGTGATCCATTTTGAGTTAATTTTTGTGTATGATGTGAGGTAGAGGTTCAATTTCATTCTTTTGCATGTAGATACCCAGTTGTCCCAGGACCATTTCTTGAAAAGACTATTCTCATTTAATTGTCTTTCCACCTTTGTCAAAGGGAAGCCTTAATCTTTTCATAATGACTATGTTTATTCATTCATTGCCCACTCACATTTTCTCTTCTTTCTACTCCTCTTCCTTTGAAGTCCCCTTTTTTTAGCATGAAAGTTTTTGACTGGCAGAAACTAGGTTTTGTTTAAATACCTGAAAGGCTGAGATTAGATGAAAACCAGTCTTAAAATGCAAATAAAAAGGAAAATGGATATCCCTTTGTCATGTATGGTGCTGGCTACACTGCTATCTTTTCAGACATTACCTCTGTTCACTGTGTGTGTGTGTGTGTGTGTGTGTGTGTGTGTGTGTGTGTGTCCTCTATGGCACAGACCACTCAAAAAACCCTGCAAGGTCTTTCTTTACTAAAATCTGTGTTTCTCACTTAGTAAAGGCTAAAGGGCCAGTTCCACTCTACCTGAAAAGCTGGTAACCCACGTGGCTACATTTGTGGCATTTGTGATTGGAACTATATAGCATAGGAACCTCAGAATGATCACCTAAAAGAGAAGGTACAAAAGGGTACCTACCCATAAGGTAAAGGGTAGAAAAATAGGAAATCGCCTGCAGAATGAGAAGCTGACTTTATTTGATCTACTACTTGGCTAAATAAAGACTGACTCAGGCTTGTGGTCTGCTTTCCAAAGGCCAGGTTCCCTGTGGGGAGGAAGACATCCATGTAGAACATCTCAGCTGCCATAACAAAATACCCTAGCCTAGGCAGTTTAAAAAACAAAATTATTTTCTCACAATGGTGGAGGCTAGAAGTCTCAGATCAAGATTCAGCAGGGTCTGTTTCTGGTGAGGACTCTCTTCCTGACTTACAGACAGCCATTTCTAGCTGTGTCCTTGCATGGTGCAGAGAAAGATCAAGTGAGCTCTCTGTTGTCTCTTTTTATAAGGACACTAATCCTACTGGATCAGTGCCCCACCCTTATGACCTCATTTGACCATAATTCAATAAAGGCCCTCTCTCCAGTTATAGTCATATTAGAGATTAGAGCTTCAACATATGCAAATTTGGGGGGATATTCAGTTCATAACAATCCAATATGAACCTAGTGGAGTTGTCTTGATATAGCCTGCACTAGCCTCCTAGTGATGCAAGACTCCCCTTCCCTGGTCTCTTCAGTTACCTTCTTTTCTGAGCTTCATTTTCTGTCAGGCTAGTCAGGGGCAAGGAACTTGTATCCTACTTGCAGTATTCACCTTCTCCGAATTTGCCCTTTCTGTAGGGTGGGAGTTTGGATAGAGTGGGTAGGGGAGGGAATTAAACTCACATTCTGTTCATTCATCTTCTGTTAGAAAAAAATTGCCATTTCTTCCTTCCTGGAACACTCAAATTTTAGACTTCAGCACTGGACAGTTGCTACCTGTCATGTTTTGATCAGTAAAAATGAGAGCTAGTTAGAATGTCTCAGGAGACCCCTCCCTCCCACCAAATGTTCAGAAGAGATGACAGTAAATCCTTTTAGAGGAGGTGATGCTAGTGGGAAGAGAAGCCTAAAGAAAAAAGAGAGAGACTCCTCCCTTGTCCATAAACCTGGTACCTCATCTTTCTCCCTCTGAGAGAACTATGCAGGCTTCAGTCCTAGTCTGGGGCCACAGCCAAATGGGGGCAGTGTGGAGTCACAACCCAGCTGAGCCCTTAGCATCCAAGCTTCCCGGGAAAGACAAGTATTTCAGTCTCTGCAAAGGCATGTGTAAGTCAGTGTGGGCTGACTTAGACTGCTGTTGGTGTTTTGTCATCTCTTTGCTATCTCAGAACATATTTCCATTTCAACAGTATGATGCCCTGAGAGCTTTAATAGGAAGCTCCCAACCCTCTCTCAAATTCCTTGCTAAAGAGCCTGGAGGAACAACAGCCAGTGTCACACTATTTTTCTTACTTCTTAGGCCTAGTGCCTTGTACCTGGCATCTCCAGTAGATCAGAGTAGTACTCAGATTTTACAGGTAAAAGTCTCAAAGAAACAGTAAGAAAAGTAAAGCAGAGACATATACTCTATGCCCTTTGTGGGTACTGAGTTAGAGATTACTTACTGGTTTTAGACTGTTCCACCTCTGTCAGGCTTCTAAATAGTCTCTCCACTTGCCAGGTGGGAGATCTTCATCACCTGCTGAGATCTGAAGCTCTGGGATGAGAATGTCACAAGGCAGGTTGGATGATGATTTTTTCTTCATTCCAACTGTAAATTCTTACAGTGACAAATCAGTCATACCCTCAGCCAAACAATATCATATATGCTCTGCAGCATAAAGCACAGGGTTCCTGACCCATTTCTGTCCTATTTGATTTATTCATTCATTGAATATTTATTGAGCACCAGCTGTGTGCCAGGCATTGTGCTAGATGTTTGACAGTGCTTTGTTATATAAATGTTGCAAGAATCCTCTAAGATTTAGTCACTCTTTCAACAAACATTTATTTTACACCTGCAATCTACTATTCCTAGGTACTGTGTTAAGTGCTAAGATGGGTATTATTATTCCCACTTTTTATCTTCTGGTGAGACATGTATATAGCTTCCCCAAAATCATTCAGAATAGCAGGTGGTCAAAGTAGGATTCCAAACCATGTTTTTTGTGACGTTTTTGGCTTATAGTTTTATTACCTGTATTAGGTTAAATGGTTCTGTGATTTACTATCAATTAGACATATTAAAAGAAGACATTGATTTCTGTTATGCTGTCATACACGTTTTAATAAACTTTTTATTTTGGAAGAATGTTAGAATTACAGATATACCCCTCCATGTAGTTTTCCCCATCTTATATTACCATGGTACATTTATTAACACTAAGAAACTGGCATTTATACATTACTGTTAACTAAACTCCATATTTTATTTGGATTTCATCAGTTTATCCATTAATATCCTCTTTCTGTTCCAGGATGTAATTGAGGGTATCACACTGCACTTATTTGTCATGTCTTCCAGATGTCCTCTGGTCTGTGTCAATTTCTTCATGACCTGACAGTCTTAAGGAGTACTGGTCAGGTATTCTGTAGTGTAGACTGTTCCCCAGTCTGTGTTTGTCTGATGTTTTTCTCATTACTAGACTGAGGTTATAGGTTTTTGGAAGTATCCAAGAGAGGCGAAGTGCCCTTCTCATCAGATCACACCAGGGGTTACTTGACAGCCACATGACATCACTGGCAATGTTCACCTTCATCACTTGGTTAAGGTAGTGTTCGCCAGGATTATTTACTGTATAGTCACTATTTTCCCTTTCTCTACTCTATTCTTTGGAAATAAATCACTAAGTCTAGCCTACCCTTAGTGAGAATGGGAACCAAACACCAGCTCCTAAAGAGAGTATCTACACGTATTATTTGAAATTGTTCTGTTAGAAAGATTTGTCTCTTCTCATTTATTTAATAATTTTTATGTCAGTATGGACTCGTGGTAAACTCTGATCTAAAACCTATGTTTTTTTCTGCTACACCAGACAAGAAATAACAAGGACTTATACCAAACATTGGTTTCAGGGAAATTTATTTCAGATTTCAGAGATTTTTAAGAAGTAGATTTGATAAGACTTGGTGACCTTGAATGTGAGGGAGTGATGGAGAGGGAATATTTGAAAATGACACTTAAATTTTGGTTTGAATAACTAGAAATAAAATTTTGGTTTGAAATATTTAATAACAAGAATGAAGATTGATTTTAGGCTTTGATAAAGCTCAGCGTCTTCCGAGACTGTGTTTAGACTACATGTCGGTCCAGCTTTACCAAGTGCCCTGTTCTCCCAAGTCAGCAGAGAAAACTACTTTTCCTTGTGGCTGAAATGCCAGGGCCCCCTAGTGGAGAACCCTCTGGGTCCTGTTTATTGTCTGAAGGGTGCTTGGTTTTGTTTTTTGTTGGGTTATGTGTTTTTTTTCTAGTTTATTTACAGAACAGAGATGCTTAATTTTCTAATAAATGATTAAACCCTTCCCCTTTCAGAGTTATCAGTTCACTTCCATGTGACCTCATGCTCATTAAGAGGACACTTACCCTGTGACAATCACCCCCATGCTTTTGTACTCCAAACCAGAGAGTATGTGATACTTGTTTTTAACTCGCTTATTTTCTTTTTCTGGCTGGTGCTGTATTAATGTTGATTCTTTGTTTCAGAGCCATCATCAACCACTTTAACCCCAAAATTGAGTCCTACGCTGCTGTGAATCACATATCCCAATTGTCGGAGGAGCAGGTAAGCCACTACTCTCCCCAGAGTGACCCTAGTTGGTGGCTAGGATCTAGTAGTTGCCCTCTCTGATGGCAGAGGGATTCTGTGATTGAGCTTCTAGCAAGAACGGCAAGAGCCAGGATGCTACGAGGAATTAGTAAGGGATTTGTTGATAGTACTTTAAATAGTAATGGTTTCTTGTTTTTGTGCCATACGAGAGGTTCATTTAATTATATAGAAGATATGTAGGTGAAAATTTAGTGAATTCTTATTTTAGAGTGGGCGATAAGGCATTTCTTTTTTTAATTTTAGGCAGAGAGTCATTTTGATTTTTGAAAATAAGAAATGAGAACTTAGAAATGGATGAAACTGCCAATTAGAAAAACCTTGAGTTCGGCTGAATTTGATGCTGTTTGGCTCGTTAAAACTTGAGCCCTCATTGGGGCAGATTTTCTTAGTAATTGAGTTCTATTTGCCTTGAACAATTATTCCTGAGCAGGTTTTCCTGTGGTATGGACTGAGTTGGAGATGCAGATAGCATTGTGTATTGGTTTTCGTTGAGTCTGGCCTGATTTCCCCTTCTCTCAAAGTGCCTGCACTTGGCTCTGCATTATTTAAAAGTAGAGATGGGACTTTAGCGCATGGCATGGGGCTTGAACTTGATGTTACAGAATGAGACTCTTGAGTCCCGTTTTTAAAAGCATAGACTAAGAGTCTATGGCCATGCCACCCTGAACAAGCCCAATCCTGTCTGATCTTGGAAGCTAAGCAGGGTCAGGCCTGGTTAGTACTTGGATGGGAGACCACCTAGGAAGACCAGGTGCTATAGGCGTAAACAAAAATAAATAAAAAAATAAAAGCACAGAATAAGACATTATATTCACAGTATCCCTTCCTTCCCACCCTACAAGTCAGAGGGCCAGGATATTCATGAGGTGAGTCCAGATATAGCCTCCAAGCCATATGCCAATGCATCAGTGTAAGCCTTCTCTGAGCCTTTTGCTGGCAGAGCCAGCCAGCCAGCTATGGTGTGACTATGTGTTCCTGTGTTCCTAAAAGCTATTCAGCTCACCCAGTGAGGCACCAAGCTAGCCTTTTTCCTAACAGATAAGCTTCTTAGTATTCCCACAGTGGCTTTTTCCTCAGCCAGATGGATAGGACTCTATTAGTCTATCAGTTGTTCCCTTTGACGTATTTGTTCTCTTTTGTGAGACCAGCTGTGGGAATCCATCCTCTTATTTTAACTGTTTTTGTAAATGGTTTCATTTTTTTTCTATTCTGCCTATGGAGCAGTCCTGAGTCCTGTTCTTTGATACCACTGCTCTCTGAGATGCACAGGGATACTACCTTTTTTTTGATGGACCAATTCAGATCAGTTTTACTATATCGTTTTTATACAAAAGAATTTAACATCTTGAGTTTTGTTCAGTGAGAGTAAAGGTGACTTTCCTGCCGCAGTGAGCTCTGGTTAGCTAAAAGCTTAAAAAAAAAAAAAAAAAAGGAAGACACATTTTCTCTGTCAGCCACGTGCAGTATTCATCCCCCAGCAGCTTGGGAAGGTCAGGCTGAAATCTTTCTACAGCAGTAGCAGCCACAGACCAATAATAAAAATCCATTCTGGTACATGAGGCAATCTGGAAAAGGATGATTAGCAAGCACATGTCCTCACCCTCCTCCAACTTCTTTCAAAGTTAAATGAAGTGATGAAAGTGCCTCTCAAAAAAAGTCCACAAACCAGAGAAGAGGCGATTTCTATGCAGAGGGAGAGTAGATAGCCCTGTGTGAGAATGGGGAGGGCATAGCAGCTCTCAAGGATTTATTTACTTAGTTAATGAATAATTACATGCCTGCTGTATATAAGGTGTGATACTGGGTGGTGGGGAATAATCTTAGTGTAGTTCTTGCTCTCATGGAGCTTTTGTACACTCATTACCTCTCTTAACAATCCTTTCACTTGTGGGAAGTGGGAAGGGTGATGCCATTCTGGGACCCTTTTCAAAACTGCCCTCAAAATAGTTCTTGCTTTTTACCCCTAACTGACTTTGAAAGGTGCTAAATGACAGCATTAGGGTACACTTGGTTTTATTCTCACCTCTATCAGATTAGAAGCATTTAACTGCCTTGTTAATCTCCAACTGTTGGAGCACTTCTCTGCCTTCACTCATGAACATTAATGTGAATATCACTTAATGTTAAGTGTATTTACAGCTTCCCAAAGAGCCGGCTTTGAGATGCAGTGGGGCCTTATAGTTGTTAGCAGCAAACTGAGTTAGAAACAAATCAGGAACTTAATTTCCAAGTAGATTCTAAAGTACTCCTAAAATAAAACCTAAAGACCATGGATAGGCGTTAACTGGAATTTATAGCACCTAGTAAGATAGCAGACAAGAGAAGGCTCTTTGTTAGATCTGTCTGCTCAGCTTGCCATTGTTTTCTGGCAAGAGATTTGTGAGTTTTTGAGCTCTCACAACCCCCAGATATATTCCAGCCTCTGTTTAAGGCATTTCAAGGTGATACTTGTAAATCCATTATTGCTTATTAAATAAAACACATTCTCTCACACTGGAGTTTGTGTTTTTTTTCAGTTGTCCAGAAGACAGATGACATTTTTCTGTTACTTCTTATTGGCTTCATAGAGAACAAAGCCTTTTAATCAGTCAGTTCTTTCAGCATAACTGAATAGTTATGCATTTATTAGTGTAATAAACTGCATAAATTTTTATATTGTATGCACAGGTATCATATTTGTCTGGGGTTGATTGCAAAGCTTGTTCATTTTGACTCCCTTTTGTGTGTGTGTGATAAAAATACATAAAATTTACCAATTTAACCATTTAAAATGTACAGTTCAGTGGAATTAATACATTCACATTTTGTTCAAACATTACCACTATCCATCTCCACAACTTTTTTTATCATTCCATACTGAAATCTTATACCCATTAAACAAGAACTCCCTATTTCCCCCTCCCCCAGGCCCTGGTAATCACTGTTCTACTTTCTCTCTCTATGTATTTGATTATTCTAGGTGCCTCATATAAGTGGAATCATATAATATTTGTCCTTTTGGATATGGTTTACTTTACTAAGCATAATGTCTTCAAAGTTCATCCATGATATAGCATATATCAGAATTGCATTCCTTTTCAAGACTGAATAATATTCCATTGTATGCATATAGCACATTTTGTTTATTCACTCATTCATCAGTGGACATTTAGGTTGTTTCCACCTTTTGGCTATTGTGAAGAATGTTGCTATGAACATTGGTGTACAAATAGCTGTTTGGTTCCCTGCTTTCAGTTCTATGTGTATGTACCCAGAAGCGGAATTGCTGGATCAAATGGTACTTCTATGTTTTAAGTTTTTGAGAAATCATCATACTGTTTTTTACAGTGCTGTACCATTTTACATTTCAGTTTCTCCACGTGATTGCCAACACTTGTTTTCTTTTTTTGTTTTTTTTGTTTTTGTTTTTATGTTATAACCATCCTAATGGGTGTGAAGTAGCATCTCAGTGGTTTTGATTTGCATTTCCCTAATCATTATTAATGTTGACTATCTTTTTATGTGATTATTGATCATTTGTCTATCTTCTTTGGAGAAATATCTATTGAAGCCCTTTGCCCATTTTTAATTGGGTTGTTTGTTTTTTTTTTGGTTGCTGTTGAGTTTTAGGAGTTCTTTATTTATTCTGGATATTAATTCCTCATCAAATAATGTAATTGCAAATACCTTCTCTCATTCTGTGGGTTGCCATTTTACTGTGTTGACAGTGTCCCTTGGTGCACAAGTTTTTAATTTTGATAAAGTCCTACTTGTGTACTTATTCCTTTGTTTCTGTACTTTTGGTGTCATATCTAAGAAATCATTGACAAATCCAATGTCATGAAGCTTTTCCTGCATGTTTTCTTCTAAGAGTTTTACAGTCTTAGTTCTTACATTTAGGTCTTTGATCATTTTTAATTAATTTTTGGGTATGATGTTTGGGCAGGGCATTTGACCTCTCTTTTTATCTCACATATCTTTATGAATAAAGATCATGGAAAAGGTACATCTCGCTTTTCCAAAAACTGTGAAACTACTCCATTTATCCCCTGCTGAGTTTGTTTGTCTCTAGTACATCTTGTAAAATTGCCCTTCAGGCCCCTTGCCCACCCTCAGCTGAGATTTATTTCCTTTCTCTCCCCAGTATGGCTTGGTGGTAAGCATCTGTCCCTAACTAATAGAATCATTTGATATGCTCCCTCTACCCCCTGACTGGTGGCCTGCAAACTGATTTTCATTCTTCCAGGAGGATAGCTGCATCAAACAACCTATGTTTCATAAATAAATTCCAAGGACCCTTTTGTAATTGGAATTTAAGAGAAACTCTTGACTCCAGGCTGTCTTGGGTTTAGATACTTTGAGGACATCCCATCCTGATGAAGTAATCTGTTCTTTAGAGAAGTATGTTGAAATAGAAGAGCTCTTCAGGGAGGTCTCCTCCCTATCTTGTCCTACCCTAAACTCTTATATACTCCCTCTCCTTTATTCCTGCTTTTCAAATTAGAATGGGTCCATGCTCAAGAGGTCTGTCATGAAATCTCTTGGAATAATACTTAGCTCACAGGTTCTTAACCTAAGGTCCAAAGATAGGCTTTAGAGAATTATTGCACACTCTGAAATTGTGTGTAAAACTATATATATGTCCTTTTTTTCCCCTTAAAGAGGGTCTATCTTTCTTAAAATTCTCAACCAGTCTTTGACACTCCTACACCCATTTTTTTGTAAGAGTCATTGACTTAGCTTCCTTGAATAATACCTCATACTTTCCTTGCCCCCAGAGCCCTTAGACCTTTGAAAATGCCCATTAAAGATCTTCAACTCCTTTTAGGATATTCACTATTTGTTTGGTTTACAAATACTATGACATATTGATTTATTCAGCTCTAATTTCCTTATAGGCAAGAGAGGGCTTCATAGTAGGACTTCAGAGAAGATTCTCTAGAGTTCTGATTATCTAGAGTACCTAGTACTAATTT